GGTTTTCTCGACAATTTTTGATTAACAAAAAAAAAAAAAAAACAACAACAACAAAAAAAACCAACAAACAAACAAAAAAAGCAGATCTTGTGTGTCCTTAACTGTTATTGTTATTACAATTTTAAAACATATACTCATAATTCTAGGATCATAATTTTCTTTTCCTTTTGTTAAAGGAAAACGATTTTACAAATGGATTATTGTTTGTAATATCATCTTCGATATATTCCTAGAGGTGGTATTTTTCTAAACGTTTAAGAAATGACACCCGAAGATGTTTTGTTTCAAAAAGCCGCCACACTCAAGACTTTGAGACTTTTGTCAGTCATTTGTTACCATGAAAACTTATTTTAATTCAATAGATCTCAAAAAAGGCTTTCAACAAACGTGGTAGTGACCGCTCGATAAGTAATAATAAAAATTCCAGACCTCTTTACGATACTGGCCGACTAATGCTATATTCAAATACCACTATTCTGTTATTTCTATTCTCTTATTCATTTCTATTATTCTTGCGTCTGCCGATGAAAGCGAACTAAAACAAAAACGTGGTATATGCCTTAAGGCTGTTTAAACTAGAAGATCGAATAAAAAATGCAATCGATAGCAATTTTTTTTTCAGTGAGAGCGACACTATAATTTAATAAAGAAGCCGTAAAACTCGGGGGTATTTGATATAGTTATAAGAAGAACTTCCTGGTTTGAAATTGGTTCTAGAGTTGAATATGCATGTTTATGATATTAAGGTAAAGATGCTCTTCAATTAGCCGTTACTTAGCGCTATGTCTTTACTTAAGAGAGGTGGAGGTGGTTTTAAGAAAACTTGTAAAAATATATCCGCTTGTGAAGTTTATTTTTGTTACAAAAAATTTTTGGAAATACAATTAGCTATTAAGATATAGTACTGTAATATTTAAAAAATTCTTCCCATTTTTATCAATTTTCATTTATGTTTTTCCGCGTTAAGACAAAAAACGCAACAAAACGTGATACCTTGAGGCTATATATGGGTGAAGTTCAAAAAAAGGAAATCTTTTTCAGGAAAATATTGTTCACCAAGAATCAAAGCTGGAAAACCAATAAAAAACTAAAAAAATTTTCAAAAAACCTATGCGGAATCCTGAAAAATAAAGACTACTTAGGAAAAAGAGCTAAAGAAAAATGAAAATTCGGAGCATATTCTCATTTGTGTAAAACTTTGGCAGAATATTTTGAAAAAGATACATAGGTATAGAAATGTACGTTTTTCGTTTCATATTAATGTAAATTGTATTAGCCTATTAAACACCAATCTTATTGGTTTTTATAGGCGAGTAAATCTTGCAGCAACCCTTGAATTTCTCAAATCGTTTCTTTTCGTGCGTTTTTCTTTGGTTTTAGATTTGTTGTGGTCGGAAGTAATATTTAGTATTTCGTTCCATGACTACCAAAAGGTTTGAAGAAAAGGACAACTATATGATCAAGTCCAAGCAATGGCTTTTGTCCCGTTCACTTGAAAACAACCGTTTCTAGGAAAATCACTATTCAAACTGTTATTAATAACTGCATGAGAAGTTCATTGTAATTTGACAGAGGAGGCTTAAGTACCTAACAGAAACGCTCTAGCAGGTTGTATTAATTTTTGGCCGGTTTGTTTATGCTAAAATACTGAGCTAAACGTGAACTCCGGCAGACTAAATATCTCGTGAACTAGTCCGTAGATAAAATCACAACACATGAGCAAGATATGGAGACTGGTTTGTAAAGAACCTCTAAGAAAGTTTAGGATTAAGATTAAGTCACTAAGTTGCAGACTGCCTCCTCTGGCCCCTATCGCGGTGTATTGGATCGATCTCTTTGTCAGTGACGTCCAAAAACAACTAACCATAAAACCGCTTTGATTTTAGCCAACGTTTCTAATGATAAGATTCACGAAAGCCAAATCCATTTGCGTTACTGTTTTCCAGGGCTTTTCACTAATTCTGTAGCATTTTTAAGAGTAATTATTGCATGTTAATGAAACGAGAAGTTACTTAACCCTAGTGTTGCTTCAAAACTGGTGTGGCTAACCGCAAAATAGGCCTCGGTTAGTTATCGCAAGACGAGAGAGCTCCAAATCCATCTAATGGAATAGACCTTCACGTTTCCTCGCTATATAGCACTAGTACTTTAATCCCAAACTTGATTCAATATCTAGGTGACTCGCTCACAACTTAACTGGACAAACGAGTACGAACATAACACGATCAATGATTTCGAATCTATTCATATTTTTAAGATCTCTTGGGGTTTCGAATTTCTGATCTTTTTCAGTGTTATAAGGGATTGTTAAGATCTAGCAAGTCTGGGCTTGAGCCTTGTAACTGAAGCTCCTGCTTATCAGAGTACACAAGAGAACAAAGGATCTAATTTCATTATAACACGGCATATGAATAACAAAAGCGATGATAAGGCTTCTGTTTGGGTGAGCGTTCAATGCGAGGGCTGCCTAACACTTCTACCCTCTGTCAGATTGTTATCAATAATCTCTACAACTCAAAACCCGCAGGCATTAGACCTATTCTCTTGTTAGTTCTCACAGATTTGGATTTCAATTTCAAAGGTAACCCTATAAAGTCGTAAGCCAAGGTATTAGTAAGAAAGATCCAAGTGCTAATTCCTTAATAAATATGTAAATATTTGTAGATGTTATTGTTGCGGTAAATTAGAGGGAGGAGTTGTTGAGAGGCCAACGGAAGTTAAAATGTATTAAGAACAACAAATTATTGAGCGAAATATTGGAATTTGCTCCGCTTTTAACCACCAACTTCTGTGTTCGTTCCTTAGAATACACTTCCGGATGGTTTGTAATAAAGGCAGCAGTGCCAAAAGGATTCCTCAGTAAATAGCAGGGGTTATAATAGACATAGCAATAATAACAATAATAATTACGAGATCAAAACAATTGGAAAGGTCCTTGACATTCTTCTGTTTACGCATGAAATATACTTGAAATCATTTTTGAGAAGAAGAGTTTTCATAGAAAATATTTTTTAAATCAAAAATATTGTTATTTTATTTGTCTCCCTTTGTCACTTTTACTTTTTACATCTAAAACATACACAAGGTTTTTCAGTTTTCAACTAAATACTTCTCGACTTAAACACTTGGAATAATAACGTCCTTACTATTAACATCATTCTTTTCCTTTTTACATTCATTCCAAGTTTATAAGAATTCGATCTATTTTGATTTGTGATATAACAACATGCCAAGATGAGTTTTGATCAGGATGGTTTCAATACCGTTTAGTTAATGACATTCTAAAGCACCTGCTAGTTCGAAGCGGGCAGTTTCGCGATAACAGGCCACCAAGGTCTGCACGCTTTCAAACACATGACACTCTTTCCCCATTTTTCCCGCTTCCCACGAGTAAACCAACCATGTTGCGCCTAAATCTCTAAGCAGTTGCCATGAGAAGTTCTTAGCTCTGAAAACATTCTAAAAACCTAGGAGATACTTTGACATCCATGGACTGAATAGTCACATCTTCAGAACTGAAATTACGCAACAAAATTTCTTTTTTTTTTATATATACTATAATTCTTAACTTTTGACTCCAAAGCTAACTGAACTGATTAATCAAAGGCGTTGGTTGAGTTCATTTAAAGTATTTGAAATAAAAAATGTAATTGGTTGTCCTATACGTGGAATAGCATAAAATGTCTTCCAAAATACTATGAACTAAATGAACTATTGAAGGGCATCTACACCAGGCTAGTTGATGTTTTTTTCACCCGCTAACACAATACCCTATTCATTAGTCCTATATACTCCTTATTGTTAACACTTTTCATTTAGTTTTGGGATGGGAGGCATTGTTAAAGCCTTCATACAATCGACTTGGACTTAGGCTTTGATTAAGAATTTGTTTTAGTTGTTTTCGATAATTCTCATGGGAGAAAACTGAAGACGAAGGCGGTACTGTTTTTCTTCTTGTCTTGTATGAGGCGGATGATCGCGGGCGTTACGTGGTGCCTGACCGGTGTGAAATGATATCTTGACTTAAATGTTTTATATCCGTTTGATTCGAGACCATTGCACGAATTTGATTCGAGAGTTGATAATATCGATGCTTAGTTCTCCAGTGTAAGAAAACTCTTTAAGGTCTTAAGTCTTTGTTTCCTGCTGATCTGTTGATTTGAAAAGTATTGAAAATGGAAAGGACTAATTTTTGAATGACTTTTTGGAAGTAAAAAATATCCCTTCCTCCACAGGAACATCAAAACTACCTCTGAATATTCACGATGGGTGAAATGCTTCAATATCTTAGTGAACAGATGTCAATTTTTTGTCTCACATAAAAAAACATTTATTCTTAAGCAAACAAAGTAGCACTGGTAGCGTAGAACCATGAATGGAAGAATAACCAGAGACTGGTAGTTTTTGGTAGTACTCCCGATAGTATTTCATATTTCGGCTTCAACCAAGTAGATAGGCCCTTGAGTTGATAAATGACAGCATTTGTTAGGGGACTTATTCGAAACGCCACTTGCATGCCACTCATCAATTCTCTCATTTTCCCTCGAATTTTGTTCATACATTTGCAGGTTTGCCTCTTGAAAGAGTTGCATTTTTTATTGTTTCTTTAATTTTACGAACAAACTTGCATGTTTCATCTTTGTTTATCGTCAAAAGAAAAACCGATCGTAAATCATACTATACTTCTTTTTTCCCCTCATTTAAGGGGCGGTAGTTCTAGAGAATTCTGGATTCAACATTTCAAAACTTTCCTTTCTTGACTTATTTACGCTGTTTGAATAAGTTTTTCAGATTTCACTTATTAATAACTTAAATTTGTGTGTAAAACGTTAATTTCTGTGTGTAAAGCTGTATTGGGAGCTTTTAGGTTAATTGAGATCCTTTCAATAACTAATAATGCCCCTACACCAGACATTTCAGGGGCCAGGTGACGTATGTCACGCTTGTCTGGCTTTTTACATTATTTATTTTTATTGACAGTGACATTTATAAATACCCTTAATTCAAAGGCTTTGCATCAGTAGTGATGAGTACGCTAGCAATGCAGTCACCACAAACTTACCCGGCTTACTATGGTGGCGGTTTACAGAATAAGGAACCCCAGAACCATACCAATCCTTTGGATTTTTCTTATTCTCAGTGTCGTATGCAATCGCCCAGTTACTACAACCAAAATGCACTGCCGAATTTTATGTCAATGTCACAAACAAGCCATAACGCGCAAGTTAATGGATACAATACAGAACCTGTTCCTCCGTTCCAACATGGACAGTTACCCAACCAAACCACCGCCGAAACGAGTCCTGTGGACCACGGCCATCAGCCGTACTTCCCAAATCAACAAGAACCTAACCAAAATTGCTCGTTCCATCAGTACGCTTGGCTGAAGAGCACCGCTCCTGAAAATTGGTGGCACAACGCTTCTTCAAGTAAGGCTCTACTCCTTTTTATTTATGAGAGATGGCTTATAGTCTTTTGTTGTGCTTTCGTGATTCTTGCAAGCAGCATAAATTGAGGGATCTTATACTGCAGTCAGCTTATTCGAACTCTTGTAAGGAATGGGCGACTTGTTTTGTTAAGTTTTCCACCACAAAATACATCATTCTTAATGAAATCTTCATGAATTGTGCCTTCTAGATTAGACACAAACCTCCACTCCAAAGTCGATCGCTTTTACACACAATATTTAACTTAATTTAGTGATTTAAACGTATACGTATTTAAGTCAGACGATCTAACGACTTTGTTATTGATGGGCATTTTTTTCTTCTTTTTTTGCGTCGCTCTACTTATAATTAGCCAACGCTTGGAGTAACCGAACCGAAGGCAAGCGTAAAAGGACCGCATACACGAGAAAGCAGCTCCTTGAACTAGAGAAGGAATTCCATTTTAACCATTTCCTGACGAAGGAGCGAAGATCGGAGATGGCAACACAGTTAAACTTGACAGAACGYCAGGTTAAAATATGGTTTCAAAACCGACGAATGAAATGGAAAAAATGCAATGCCCAGGCACTTACGAAAACCAAGTCACCATCAAGCGCAACGGGTGGAATGCCCTCTTCAACTCGACAGGATTTACACATGACCAACAGTACATCAGCCTCGCAACTCAATGCAGACTCCCTCGGCAACTCGAACTCACAGATTCAGAACTGTATGGGCTTTAGAGGTACATAGATACGCTCATTTTTTACTCAGAAAAGAAATGAGAAAATACAATTGACAAAAAATTACAGGTTATTTGAAAGATGAACTAAAGAGTAGAGTAACATAGCTTATAAGGAAATAGAATTTATCTCAGCAATGAAAAAAGAGAAAATACCTAAGAACTGCTTTGATGACGATTGGTTATTATCGACTAGAACAGACCGTAATTTAAGGTTTCTTTTTACAGTATGTGAATAGCAGCTTATCTTTTCAAGTTATATCTATTACTTAAGTAAGGTTTCAGAGGTTTTATCGTGACTGAGTGAGCGAAAATAACCCTGTATTTTTCAAAAGAAGAACTTTCTATTTAACACACACGCAGAAGAAGAAGAGGCTCTTTACAAAGTATGTGAATTTGAACTGTATATAATTGTGAATAAACCCAAATTGTTCCAAAAATGACTTGAAGAAGCTCTAAAAGAACCTTTGATATTATTGAAGTTTTAATTCAATAAGTGCAAGAACCTTCTTAGATCTTTGAGCAGTGTCCAAAAACTGTGTCGAAACAATGAAACAGGTAGAAGAAACACCGGAAAACTTAAGAAATGGTACTTGATTTCTCTTTATTCGATAACCCTAAAGAACTAAAAGCTGAAGTAAGTTGGTTGTTTTCGATTAGATGTGGTTTAAAGTACACTGTTGGACTGGCAACGATTCGTAAACTAAGTCAGAAGGCTGTTCTACCATTGATATTTTACCATTGTTTTCTTTGAGAAGCCTTAATCTCGCTTCAGAATTTTTTCCTTTCTTATCAAATTGGTCAGTGTTGTTCTGTGAGGCATGTGAAAGGCTTTTAAAGGGGGGACAAAAACTTCTTGACTCGAAGGTCTCCGTGATTGACCTTATTTTTGCTTGTAACTTTTAATGGTTTTTATACTATAAATGGAGTTTGGTATCTTGTGTTAATCAAGAAACCGTGGACACACTATTTGGAGATATACAATTGTAGGGTGAGACATCGCTTATTGAATAGAGAGCATTTAACTAACGCTCCTCCTATTTTCCTCCACGAGCGATACTGATCTTGACTTGAACATCATTCCTAAATATACTATTTTAATCCATGTAGAGGCTGAAATGCTTCGAACAAAGAATCAATCCTTTGTTCCTTGAACCATGATCGTCATTTTCCCTTGGTTAGACTTTTGAGTAGATGAAATGTTAGTGAAAGGCATAGATGATAAGGGATTTTGGACCTCACCAGTACAAGTGCGAACTACAAGGTGTAAATTCAAATCCTTAGATTTCTGCTCAAACAAGTGTGAAAGTGAGGTGTTGAGACAGTGCAAATGCGAAATCTTAATACAATATAATAGAGAATAGTCAATCACAGGACAAAGACTCCTAGCCACAGTAAAATTCAAGAGAAAACTCGAGCTAGTATTATCATCAACAAGACTACTCAGAGAATAGCATCTAGAACAACTTGGCTGTGGATATCGGTCCACTGTAAAATGATCGCAAACTGATCTCACTTGCCGCTAAAATATTTAAAAAGAACTATTTAAACTGTACAATAATTTCGAATATCTAATGATATGTAATAAATCAATTGTTCTTAGCTGCCGTAAATGGATTATATAACGTTTTTAAAATGTCTTTACACAATGCTCGGCCCCATATTTCACCTGTCTCTCACTTCACTTTACATCGCGAGATTTCGTCTTTCGTTTTCGCTCGGTGCGACACCATAACCACTCCCGCCATTAAACAAATTTTTGTTTTTCACATCCTTCATAGGAACAGGCTTTCTTTCACATTATACATCGAGCGAGAATTTACGGTGGGAAACTGTGGCAACAGTTAGGCTTATTACTTCATTAGTTTTATTCTGTCGACTGACCCATGAATCAATGCTTTCGGTATTATTCACCTTCTTCATTACTGATCTTTACAATTGTATAACTCTATAAAAAATTACTATGTAAATAAAATATTTGCCATCTCAGACTTCAACAGCTCTCTTATTTATTTATACAAAACTAATACTTTTTTGAGTTTGGGTATTTCAGTTCAATGCTAATATGTAAAAAGTTAATTTTCTTTTAAAGCAAATAGAGTCACCTGCGAACAATCGTCGCCTTTGATCATTTAAAAAAACACACACAAGTTTTATGGCAGTTCAACTGTATTTATTTTACAATCATTTAATGTTTTTCTTAGTAATGACAAGATACACTGTTATGAGATTCACAAGCTGGTCATTATTCGACTTTGAAGATAAAGCTTTTAACAAATCCCATTAAATATTAACTTCGTCTTTTCCAGTCAGTTTGAAGCCTCAAATAAGACAAGTTAAGACAAGTTAAAGGTTCTTGTACTACCAATTCGTCCAAACACTTCCTTCCTACATTTATAACGGAAATCATGACGCGATACACTATTGATGATTTCGAAATACGCTCGATTCCACAAACTCCTTTTTACATAATCCAGTCTTGTAAACCAATAACCAAAACTTGCATGCAAACTATTTGTTTTTTGTCTGGAGCTTAAGTTTAATAATAATGTTCGAAATGAAATTTCATTTTTTGATTGCAATACAAGTATTTTTTCATTGACGTTTTTATAGCGTGAAGTGCATAATTTAGAAGTTACACAAGTATATAGAACGATGAGCTTCAATCAAGTGACGAACTTTAAAAGCCTTAGTCTAATCTAATAAGAGGGCTAACATACTCTCACTCGCTCTCATTCTTTGTATTGTCAGTTGACAAACTGAATGAGTCGCTAGATGGAAGTGTTTCGAAGCTCTAGAATAGGGCAACGAGTCAAAGTACCTTGTCACCTGACTTCCTTAGTCTCTAAGTATCAACAAACTTTTCAAAACCCACTACTCCAATGCAAATTGCTTTAAAAACCGTTTGACCGGCTCAAGCTTGAGTATAATCACATCACCCATGTGTGACTATTTTTATGGGAACGTGGATAAATTTTCCGTTAATTTTAGTCTTTTTATTCAATAACCGTCTCTAAGTGTCAACAAACTTTTCAAAACCCATCTACCCACTACTCCAATGCAAATTGCTTTAAAAACCGTTTGACCGGCTCAAGCTTGAGTCTCGTCACATCACCCATGTGTGACTATTTTTATGGGAACGTGAATAAGTTTTCCGTTAATTTTAGTCCTTTTTATTCACTGACGACACTGAACCACGTCCTAAGGCAAGAAAAAACCCATCCTACCATGTAAATTCCCGTTGATCCAATTCACTATTTCTGAAATGAAATCACTCTCTTGGAGTAATACAGTAAAAGAACGCTTCGATTATACAACAGACTGTTCACTTAGAGTTGGTCGAAGCTAGTCTAGATTGGTAGAAAAACAATCTCCATTCATATCTCAAAGGATGGAGTTACTAAGGGAGATGAAAAGAAAGTTTCTCTCTGTTGTAGCCAGAGTTTGGCTTTACTGTGGGGAGGCTTAGCCCTAGGAGACACTTGAGCTTGTGACCCTCTTGAAGCCACGATTTTGTGGTTGACAGACCTGTTATTAAGCCACTCAACCCATTTGTCATATGTCAACAATTGTGAATGTAGAAAATAGAGCACTCTTCAAATGTAGTAGTAGTGCTGTCTTATGGGATGAAGTTTGACGTGAATACTTTGGATGGCTTACAAGTGTCCCTTCTCTGCAAACATATAACTCAAATCTGCTTCCTCAACAAATACAAGTCTTTTCAATGCTACAAGGGGATTAGGCTAATTCTATAGAACATCAAACAAAAGTTTTCAAATGACTGGAAATTAAGAGATTTATCTCAATGTAAGTGAACTTTTTTAAGTAAGTAAAGGGAGAGGGGTCCCTAATACGTGTACGATGTTCGCATGAAGTATATTTAACAAAAAAAGTTGATCCGAGGTTGGCCAACTAATGGACGAAGAACAATATTCTTTTTGTTCCGCATTGAGTAACTAACAAGAGGTAGTCCCTCCTCTTTGTTATCTTTCCTAAAATCCTTTTATCAGTTTCACATGGGTGAGCGGTTCTGTTCTGTCTTCTCTTGCATTGGTAATTGTGCAAATGTAGATTCAAGTGTCGTTAATCATCAAATACGTCAAGTTAAAACGCTGTACCCTGAACATGGAGTACTATCAATTAACGTTCTGGATGACGGTGTTTCGTTAGATTTCAGAAGAAAAAACTTATTTTCTCGAACTAAGAAACGCATCGTGAGTCTTCCAACTAATCACTAATGGCCAAAGTATATTGCTTACGTGTTAGTGAGACACGCCTAAACGCATGCAAGATGCATCTATCAGTTTACTAGGTTTGAAGTCGTCCTCTTCAAACACCTCTTGACTCTAACCGCAAATTTCAAGAAATCTTATCAATTGATTGCGATAATTGATCGCAGGGTGTGCTCGGGGGTAGGTTTCTGGAAAGCAAGACTATTGCTTTTAATAATTCCATGATCGGTTATTCTGCTACGGTTTATTCAACGAAACCATCACCAGAAGATTCCGATATTGTATTTCCTGTTATATTGAGTGCCGCTACAAACCACAAGTCAACTGACATCAATCTTTAGTTGTCGAAAGGCTACTCGAAGATTACATTACTATAAAAGTCTTTCTTTATTATGTTCTGCTTGAATACAGACTCTTGGTGTACAGTTTTTAGTCACTCGGCCTGTCTGTGGGTTGCGTTCTATTTATTCAATCATATTGCGTGATGATCTACCCTTGGGATCTTGTTTTTCTCATTTGACATTCAAAGAAAAAGCGGATTATGAGACTTGTCGTAGTTTCGTGGTTGGTTGACGATTTACGTATGGCTTTTGTGTCCTAAAGATCTACTTTGATCTGCTGTCAATCATATACCTCTTATTCATTATGGGACCTTTCTCTTCTTGTCTTCCCAAAATGGACCACGAAAATAACTAAAAATAACTTGATCAAACGCAATATTCTGAAATTCATTTTTTCCCCTGTTGAATCAAAATTACAAATAATACTTTTTATTTTCAAAGGATTTCTCATTTCGCAAATGCCTAAAATAAATAAAGGTTGACCATGGCGCTAGTCACGAATCGTATTGATACGGTCTGAGAAAAGGTGCAAGGAAGTGAACCTTGAAGTAAGAAAAATGAACTGAGATAAAATAAACTTCTAGCCTAATTTCCCGTCTTGAAACCTCTAGTCCAGACCCCTCATTAAATATTATCTCAGATATTTTATTTCATGACAATTTTTGTTGTTGAGTTTTGTAAATGAAATGAGCCGACAGCACAAATACCAGTTACTATGATTGATGCGGTCTGAGTGATTCGTCAGTCTCATTGTCCATCTAACACCCATGCAGTCCTATATAAGGTTGAGAAAGGTTGATAGCACAAGGCTGACTTCCAGCTAGATAGAAAATCCAAACTAGCTATTTCTGATCAAAAGTACACGATAAGATATAGCATGTGGGCGACAGGCCCTTTTCCCCCCTAAGGCACAGAGACGGCTAGCTATTCAAACTGGAAAAGGAAACTTGTTATTGCCTTTTTTATAAAATTTTCTACTTTTTATAAAATAGAAAAAAGCTTAAAAAAAAAACCTTTTAAAACAGTGTTTCTAGATCTTAGAAATAATTCAAGCTTCCTCCCAAATTTAGTACATGGACACAGAAATGTTTTACGTGTTTTCTTTGAACTCAGCGGGGGTAAAACAACGATAATATGATTCAACAAAAGCGTCGCACTGCCAACGAAAGCTTCCTTTCCAAAGGAATTTTAATCCCACAAGCGTTTTTTTTATGCGTCACTCTATATATAGGACTCGTTACTGGTCTGAAACCATTTTCCAATGCATGATCGCGCAAAATATATTTAGTCACTGTGCAGAAAGAACATCTTTTGGAAATTTTCATTGTTCTTTTTTGTTGCGCCTTGTTTTGAACTCTAAAAGCTGTACATTGCGAAAACAATAGTAGAGGCGTAGTCGGAGAAAAAGAGGCAACACGCACACTGACATCTATACCAAGATACGATAAACATAATGAATATCCAAAGATACTCTTATCAAAACTAGTCAAACTTTACGTGGGTCTGAGGTATTGAGAACATGGATTGCGGTGTCGTAGTCAGTGTGCTTAGGTAATATGAATAACAAACAGGTAGAAAATGTTATTAAGGGAAATCACCAACCATTTATCTCACAATGGCTGTTTTGTTTCCTTTAAAATCAGATCCTACAATAGTCTCTCTAAAAAGAAAATTACTCTTAAATGATAATTTTTTTTGTCATGGTTACGAGTGAACTCAAAACGCCTGCCGAAAGAATCAAAGATATATGCATATACGCGCACGCGTCTTGTCACCACTCCTACTTAATTGTTTGTACTCTTCGCTTCTTGAATTTCATCGAAATTAAGATGTTTTTCTAACGGTTTGTATTGAAACCTTAAACAATGAAGCTATAAAAATTATAAAAGGACGTAAACGGTTCAGTGGTGAGCAAATACAGACTCGTGTTGTAAGTACAACTATTCACGGTACTCGATCAATGTCTCGTTAACAATTACCAACTTTACTTAACAAAACCAAGGTTTTTAGCATAAAAACAATGAGCCCTCGGGCATTTCTCTGCTTCTGTTATATCATTCTCAGTAACTCACGAAACGTGGCTAGCTGATGCTCTAGAAGCCCATCAAAAGAAGTAATCTTAAATATTACTGTCAAGAAACCGGCTGCTTAATCAAAGAATTATGACAACTCACAAATAGTAAATTCAATCAAGCCGCGCTCACCAATACTTGAGAAATATAGATAGCGCGGGGAAAAATGATCAGCCTTTATAAGGACCTAGAACTAGGGGAAACTAAAGAGTGAATAAAAACTAGTAGAATTTAAGGGAAAAGAAATACGAATCTAGCAAGAAATAATAACGAAAACGATAGAGTGAGTTCAATAAGAGGAAATAGGTGGTCTTAACAGGAGAAAAAGAGAGAGAGATTTATGAAACTCTCCAACAAACTTTAGAATAAATATAAGATGAAAAATATAAGTAATATCAAAAAATAGAAAAACAAGGCTTTGGTGCATTTTTGGGACTAAAATGAGACGCTCGACTAAATAAGAAAACTAGGAGGAAATTGAAATACTGTACAAAACTAAAGAAAGAGATTCAGTTTATGCATGAAAAGAACTAAAAATACTACAAGAACATGAGCGCTTCCATGTACGTTTTGAACGATAAGAAATCTCCGTTTTTGGCGAAGAAAATAAATGTTGCACTAAATAATACAAAGGAAAATAAGAGAAAGTCCTATTGAAACTCTTACATAATATTAGAAATTAAAAAGTCGAAACGAAGACTGTCATAATAATAACACAAAGAAAAGTGAAAACAGTTTTCAGAACGAGGAAGGAGAAAGCATCTTTTCAAAGCGAAGCTCTAGTAGTTGGAAAGAAAAAAGAGAGACTGAAGAAAAAAAGATTCATTATAATCTAATATATTAAGTAATTGAACATAGAAACAAAAAATAAGAATAAAAAATACGAGAATTGGATTGACAGAAAGTAAAAAGAGATCTTTTTGGGGGCAGCCAACTGCAATTAGACTAAATTAGAGAGAATGAGAGAAAGAGAAAAGATTTCTAGTCATTAAACTCCCATCTAAGTAAATGATAGCCGAAAAAGAAATCTCAAAATAAAGTAACGATTGAATGAGCATTTCTAGTAAGCTAGAAGAGTTTTTGCCGTTTGGGAAGGATTTAAAAAAATAATTGAAATAAAAGACCACAGTGAAAGATGGAGAAAGCAAGCTTGTTAGTCGAAAATGGCACAAAAAGCAACAAAGAAATGTCGGGATAAAACGAAAAAACATTAAAATTTGACCCTCTTACGAATAAAAACTAATATTTTTTTCGAAGTATATTATTTGGATTGTGATAGTGAGGCTGAAAATGTAAATAAAAGCGAAAATGAGTGAAAAACCCAGAAGTCATAAAATCACACCAAAATAATGGAAAACAAAACTAGAAATAACAAGGAGATAAGAATGACAGCAATTGAATCTCCACTTTAGAGCATAAGAACTCTTTATGTTGTAGAACTAAGGCGGAAATGAAAATACCCAATTTATTAGCATTTTAGTGCGAGAGAAGATGTAAGAGGTTACTGGCCCTATCGAGAATAAATCCTAAGATCGAATTGGAATTTAGGATTTTTAATTTTCGTGGAGGGAGAAAAACTGTAGATCGAAAGGAGGATCGAAAGGCATCAACAACAGACTCGACTCATATGAACACAGAGTCCGGGAATCCAGCGAACCTGGTTTGCAATGATGAGCTACGAGGCAAGCGCTCTCACTGCTACAATCATTCGTGCTTTCGAGTTCTTTTAATGGACGCCAGCAAATGTACAGGTGTGTCGACTGCACACAGGCCTAGATATTTGTTCACTGTTGAATATCTAAAGTGATCACTTCTTAAAACGGGTTACTGGGATAGAACTATACTTAACCATGGTGAAACAAAAAACCTCTCAACTAAAATTTCAGTCACTGGCCAATCTGTTCATAGAAAAACCTACTCATTAAACTTTGAAGCTTGCTTTTAAGGCTTTTATTATTAATATCAATCCAAAAAAGAGCCAGCTCTGCAGCGGCCATTTGCACGTTCAGTCTTTGTATTGCTAAGGTATTTAATTGTAGGCAAGAGTGATCTAAATGGTACAAAATAAAAGAACAGCTTTGCAATTAAAATCATGTGTAAAGTTAGCTGAAGTGGGTTAATGGCTGTCTTAAAATCCTCCGTTACTAGCCTGTGATCTGGGAGCTGATTACTTGGTTTTTCCAGTATTTTTCTCGGCATCTCTTTTCTCTTTTCGGTTTAACATAAACTTCTTTAATCAATCAACGAGTGATATAAATGACAATTAACGGGTTTGAAGATAGGCGACGAGAAGAGCCAAGTTAATGGAAGATGAGATTTGATAAGTATGCTTTTTTCTTTTTTCCTTCTTTTCTTTTTTTACGGATCTGTAGCTTAGAAAATGTTTTTAAATGTCTACTATTTATCATGCAGGTGTACTATATCGAGACCTTTACAGCTAAAAAGTCATGAATCAAAAGAAAAAAAATCGAGTAATCATTTGTGTTCATGAAACCAAAGAGCGACCAATCTGCACATAGAGAATACACCAGCCACTTCAGATTCATCTTTAATTTCGATTCGATTGTGGCACACGATCGACCAGAGAGTGTTCAAGTCTTTTCGTTCGTTAATGCAATTTGCGTTTTATAGTACCTCTCATCTAATTGAATCAACAAGATCCTTAAGGATTTCTAATTATAATTCATTAAAAAGTTATTTATTCCCCCTGGATATTCTTAAAGATAGACCAAGAACAATGGACTCAGAGGATGAAAATACTCGTGTTTGATTTATTTATTTGTATAAAAACACACAAAAAATGTACAACCAAGTTAAAACATTATTTTAAGTTTCACAAATTTGAAAACTAATTTATAATAAAACAATTTCAAATTATCTTCAATGGATATATTTTTGTCGTGACAAGAAAGAATTAAATATCGATAATAGTGCTATTTACTTCCTCTAACACTGTTTATACTTACAAAATAATAAACTAATACAGGCAAGATACTGATGTTATAAAACCACTGATTTTTCAAGATATTGGTGCATGGCAAACATGGCGCCAGTATTAATTAATCGATCCTACTAGCGATATAAAAACGAACTCATTAAAAAGTTATATTATAAATCGTAGATAAAAAAGCTTTATATGTATAGACTGTAAAGTTTTATGAGTTATATGGTATTAAAAAAGAAATAGTAGAAAAGACAAGGGTGAAAAAATTTATGCTACTGTTTATCAGTGGCTCTTAAATGGCTTCCCGGCCCTCTAAACCAATCACAAATTCAAAAGCCGCGCGCGTTTACCTGTCAATAGCACCTTGAGTATAAAAACTACGCGAGACTGAAAGACTAGCTAGTTTGTACTCAGATCGAAACAAAATAGCGAGTATCAAATTAATGATAATGTTCGTTTTGCCCATGTCTACTCGCGCATATTGTGCGCTGTAATTTCAGGGTATTAAAGCTGTATAATTCTTCATGCACTTTTGAAATCCCTCGTTATCAACCCACTGACAATTCCCATTGTGTACCCGGCATAAACTGTGATGGTACCGACAGTCATCTACCGGGTAGAACCCTTGGGGCCTCCACATACAAACTCCCTTCGCCTTGGTTTTTTCACATCCTGGTTTGTAGCAGAACTGGACACGGCATTTGCATCCTTGTACGAAGGTCTTTTTTAAATCACGAATCTGACCAGCTGACAGTTTATCCCAGGCAGAGTACCAATTACATCTGGACAAATATAGTCTATTGGAGATGACCTTACCAGCCAGAATGTACGCTTTACCAGGTTTTAGTTGCAGCCAGGGACTCACATACATGCGGCTGCTGTATCTGGTAGTCTTGTTGGTACGAAGCTGGGCGTGGGTCTTCTGGGTGTTTTCTACGAGTCCAACTCCCTTAAGAATCCTCTTGATTTTAATTTCTTGATACCTCCAGCCCAAGAAAGGGTACTGCCTATAGCTTCTTCTATTTGAGACAATGGACCGAACGAAGCGGAAGGGGGCTGGGGCTTGTTTACCACGACGCCAAGGAGCCACGCCCTGGGTAGTTTTTTCTTTGATTTTATCTTCATTGCTGTCAGTCGTTCTGTTTTGGGTCGTCACCAGTGGGGTAGGTCGAGGCGGTAGTTCTGGTACTTCATGCTTTACAGCAGACATGACTCTGACTCGGACAACTACGATTAAAAAAAGGATAAAAGTGAAACTATTAATAAAAGGCTTTCGATGTGGAACTCCAGGTGGGATTTTTTTTTGTGTTTTGGCTCCCGACCATAAAATTTATAACACTTTCAGCGTTGAGTGAACGGAATACGACGATTGTCAGACTTAGAGGACAGAGAGTCACCTAACTCCCAAGAAAATACTTGGAAATGGTTATCAGTAAATCTTCTTAAACTCATTATAATATTGATTTAAACTTGTTGTATTCGAGTCTTTGCGTTTGCACAGAAACTCATGTGACCAGTGTTTTTACGACCGATTTGTTCTCAAAGACTCCAGGCGACTTAGAATAATGGAAATCGAGGATAAATCAATAAGAACAATCTCTTTCCAAGCATGCGTAGTAAGAAATAAGGTTTCCAATGCGATTGCCTCCCGAATCCAACGATAGATGGCGAGCATGCGCAACTAGTAATATATTTGTATTATTTAGCCTGTGACTGAAAGCAAGGATTTTGAATGGTACCACGTATACCGAGTGATTTTTATTTCACACTAAACCGATCGGATAATAATAGGGCTCACACTGTTATCTTCTCTATCAAAAAAGGGGGAGAGAGGAGGGGACAGAGAGAAGGGGGAGTGGGAGAAGAAGAAGGGGGAGGGGGAGAAGAAGAAGGGGGAGGGGGAGAAGAAGAAGGGGGAGGGGGAGAAGAAGAAGGGGGAGGGGGAGAAGAAGTAGGGGGAGAGGGAGAAGAAGAAGAATGAAGGAGGTACATGTAAAAGAACAAGCTGACTGCAAAACCAACCATCTCTGGTGATCCTGGTATTTTGGTTTTCAAGAATGTAAAATTTCATTCCTAATCCGGATATCTTAGAAAAACCTCAGAAACCCTTACTTTATTTAGCAACAAATGCAAATTTCTCTAGAATATTCTGATTTCAATTGTCTATTTTGTATTTTTATTGCGGTTTAATGTCAGTGCAGATATTCTGCTTGGTTGTGGTCTAACGTGCGGGGATGTGCACTGAGTATTTCGCTTTCATGGTTGGACTTGTCCGGAAGTTAGTGACGTTTTTAAAATACCCTGTCGAGCCAGTCGAACAACAACGACTTAGAAAACAACAATGTTACTGTTTGATTCAAAAACAAAGTAGATCAGAAGACCCTTATTAGGGAGTACCAGCTCTCCTGGATTCTGTTACCATTGAATGGGTCTCTCAATTTGGTTACACGAGGTCAGAGGTAATCCTTTAATCTTGTTTATTGGATGATAATACTAATCTGAGGTACGATCACGGGGGAGAATCTGGCACTGGCTACAAATGTGTAAGTACCTACATTTTATTATTCAAAATGATAGTTTGGTTACTCAATACACATCGAATCATATGATTCATTTTATATGCCTAACAGTTATGACTTAGCAGATTTCCGCTTCGATACACGATTAATTTGACTGCGTAGTCAATAACAATTACGGCACTTTATAAATTACTTAATAATGTCATGCAAGTGATTAATTCGTTCAGTTTTAACAGTCTGTTATATGTTTCTATTATTCGATATATTGTATATTTATCATGGCTATGGACCGGACGAGTATTCAGATGTACGTGACCCAGGAAACCACGGAAAACCTATGCAATCAATGAAACAGAAAAAGCCAGGTCCTTAAATGGGCCTCATATAGGAAGTGTTAAAACTAGCGTTTCGCAATCAAAACAGGAGCTATGAATCCTATCACTAATACGTAGTAGTAATGCAAAGTTTTCAGTTCAAATACTACACATATATAGTTATAAACTAACATGAACCTTACCATAATCAGCATTACAGAACTGAGTCTGTACGTGTTCAGGCATACACAATCCATTTGCCATACCAATAATGACCAAAGACAGCGCAAGGATAATCCACTGCATCATTTTGCTTTAGTTCATTTATCTTCTCCTCTGACGGTTGACAGTCTTTTGAGTCAATCAGTTGTGGTTCGCTTATTTATACCCTGTCGTGTCGCACGCTCTCCATATAAGGATTATAGTCTTAGGCTTGGTCAAAATTATTTCCGTTTTGTTTAGAGGGGGGTTGCATTAGACCAGCCTAGAGGTTTACTGACGCAGCTTTCATACTGATACTGATCTTAAAACAACACTACCTTATGATGACCCATAATCATGATCTTGTTTTTCCTTGATAGAATCGCTTGATAAAAAATAGACTTTGTGTGTGGGACCGTCCAAAGAAAACCAATCGAGTGCTATAAACTGAGGACATAAGTCAGATGGTCATGGCAGATCTTAAATTGTTATTAGCACAGAACAGGGAAGAGGCGTAACTAGTTAGAACGATACAAACATTTAAGGTTTAAAATTTAAAAGGAGTAAAAAAACACACTTTTTTGGCACGCAAAGGGGTCAAGACCCCCAGATTACCAAGAACGTGTTCGCCTCTTGAACATATCATCAAGTCCTAAAATATCACCGACAACTAACGTCGTTTTCTAAAGAATTCAAATCACGTCGATCGGAATATTTTTTTGCATGGGTAGATCTGTCTCGCCATGGATTATCTTTCAGGATATATTGTGCTGAAACAAGTTATATGATACTCGAATATGTCACATTGCTCAAATACAATTCCTACGCGGACTATTATTAATTTATTCTCTCTCTCTCTCTCTCTCTCTCTTAATTTTCTTAATTATAGCACAGAGTATAGTACTTCAACTGGTACTATTATTATCATTTGTACTTCTAATTTGTACTTATCAATTTTCATCTTGCTTGTACGGACTGAAGTTGGGGTGCAGTGAATGACGTCACTTCCGGAAGAGTTGGTCACAGGGTTCCGGTCATATTTTTCACTGAAAAACTACGGAATATTTTTCTAAGCACGATCATTGACTAACTATATGTTTTGAAATGGTTTTAAGAAAGGAAATTTTCAATAGAGGATGGTATTAAAGTCGTTTTACTCTTTCCAGTCATATAATCAAGTTGTACATTTGCGAAAAGTTTTGTTTCGTACTCGGCTTTTCCATAACAAAATTCAAGTTTGTTTTTCAGTCTTCTGGTTTTTCTGGTTTTCATTTCGTCGAATCGGAAAGGCTGAGCCTATCCTATCACAAACACAGTTCTTTATATTTCCTATAGTTTTGTCAATAGATTTCCCTTATGGACTTCGTTAGTATCTATCCCTTGTCTATACTATAGTCCAAACTCAGTACCTCCCATGTTATGTTGCCGGTACGCCTTCCGTTCACTTCAATACCCTCAAGGTCGATCCCTACTAACTTTTTCAAAACTCTTTCTTTTTCCGTTCATCAGGGCACACTATGTAACTACTTCCCTTCAGTGTGTTCATTATGAAATCATACAATGATGTTAATGTTAAAGTTTCACGTATTTATTATATTAATTCATGAGCACTTACTGTAATATATCCCGTTATTTCCTTATGTAGAAGTTCACAATTACAATTTTTTCTTCTTTCTTATATTGATATTATTCATTTACTATTTATTTATCTTAGACCAAATGTAAATATTTGAACTCTTTTATATTTTAATTTCATACTTTTGTTAGTACAGTTTTTTTCTGTTACGGTTTTCCTCAGCAAATAAAGCGTATCTATCTATCTGATGGCAAAAATAGTATTTTACTATGTATCAAAACCCTTAAAACGTAAACGGTACAAAAATTCAAAAGATTCTTCAATCCTGACTCATCAGTCTATATCAGCGTGTGTAGTCACGGAAGAAACCTCATACGACTTTGTTTTGGTACATGTTTTACTTATGATACAAGAGCAGCGAGAATACAGGGTCAAATTACACTATATTCCCTTGAAATAACGTCACTGTATGACAATATTAAGTTGCTGCACTTAGAAAGTTTTACTTTATAAGGAAATCTCAGATCTTGTAATAAATCTAACGTAATTCAGCTTTTGCTGTAAACTTAGAGTCGATCACGTTTTCTTTTTACGTGTACAGGGCCCGGTTGTACGAAGCCTGGATAGCGCTGTTCAACGGATACAAATAATTCTCCTGATTAATTAATTAATGATTTTTAATAAAATTAAAATAAACGCTTCACGACTGTACACAGGCTCTAAAGTATTCGGGTTTGAGCAACTCAAAACTAAATTCTGTAATAATTTACGCAGGACTAATTTTCGCAAAGAGCAGAATTCTTAGGCGCCAAGTGGGAGGGCCGTGCCCGGGTGGAGGGAAGTGAATGTTAGGAGAATTTTTGCTGGGTAAAAAAAAAAAAAAAAAAAAAAAGAATTGGGAAATATTCGTTTTCGTTTTACAGCATCTCTTACATTTTACCATCTTCCGGCCAAATCCCCACGGGAGATTCCGAAAGCAGTGCCCGACGTTACAGTAAGTTAACTGACCTAGTTGAGAGTTGCACCTTAGTTACTTGGCGTTAGGCGAAACTAGAAGAACGACATTTTCGGTGGATACCTGGTTTAATTTAGTGTTATTAGGTCAGTATGATATCGGGTAGAGTCGACGCCCCGGGACTGAAAATGTCAAAGAATAATAGCGCAAAGAATTATCGAGGACGATTTCCGTACAGGTGAAATAACTCTATGTATCCTCCAAAAAATACTGTCACGACTACTGACAGCTTAACCGGCTGTTTTATGCATGACACAAGTCATTTGAGAATAGAAACTGGTTATGTAGTTACAGCTATGCAATCAGATGCAATTGATCTTGTTCCGTTTTGGATTGAAACAGAGGTTTAACTACCTTCCTTATGTCAACAACAATCAGCAAAAATTAAATAACATTTATTGTTATAGTCAAAGCGGAGATGTAACTTGTACTTTAAACAAATCATTGCCTGTTCATGTCCTCACAAACGGTACAGTCTCCGAGCCTAGACGGGCGTGTCCACACATGGTTTTCCTATTTATATTTGTAATATAAAACAAAAATCTAAAGATGTGCATGATATACGTTATCTCAGACTATAGTACATGCAGGAGTAGTCTTGGAGTAGAGGTGGTGAGCCCTGATGAGTACAGTAGGAAGGAATTAGTTAGTCTAATTACAGTGTGTTGGCTTGGCTTCTGCCGCCTCTTGAACAAATCTTCAAGTCTTGACAGCTATAAGCACTTGTTTGGCTTCGTAATTTCTTCACGGATGAAGTATTTTCCTGTGTAGATACAACTACCATGGCTAATATAATAGCTGGAGGGCAACAGCAGCCTGATCAGTTCAGATATCAGTCGGCTTATCAAACAGAATAAATACAAAAAACACTGGCCATATAACCTCTAGTTTTTTCTTAGTCAATTTATTTATTTTTATAATCGAAAAACGACATATAACAAAAATGTTCACCTCTGTCTAGAATTGAAACGAAAAAACACCGACTATTTGATACTCAAGTTTATTCTTCAGTTTATGTTTTTTATGCCGGGAAGTTTGTTGTTGAATATAGTTTTGAAAACTTAACTTGACTTGGTACAACAGTGAATTCAGTTAAAATAACAAATGCGTTTTCCAACCAGAAGTAAGGCATTGTAACACGGAAGTAAACTATTCACGAACTCCTGAAATAACTATATCAGTAAAGACTTGGCGGATCACCAAGTTATGAACGCAAAAAAGCTCTCAAAAGAAAAGTATTCTGTGAGTTCTTTATTAAATTATTTCGATATCACTTTCTCTTCACTGAAACATTTATTTAATAAATTTAATTACAAGCGCCTCTCGAGAATGAAATAAAATGAATCCGTCTGGTAGAGTATAGGCTCCTCTACTTTGATCCAAGTTTTTGGATCAGAAATAACATCAAAAACACGAGCGTCAGTGCCTAAAAGCGTCATGGAGTTATACACGATAATAAGAGTGGATATATCTTAAAAAACAGCGGTATCTCCATCAAGTTTTTCAAGTATTACGTATCTCTTGTTCATATCGGACAAGTTGGAACTTCTCTCTTAGAACTTGCCGACCATTAGAGGTTCCTCGGGTTGTCAAGTTTGATAAATATTCCATAGGCTAGTACAATGTCTCATCCAATTACTCCTAGTGTATTAAGAGACTTAGTCGTTAAACCACTTGAATTGGTATATATCTGTGTACATTTGCTCTTACTATGAATATAGAAAAGCTTCGGTGGAGAAAATCTCTCTTACTGAGCTTTTCTTTGTATCAGTGAAGGATAGCGTTTTTTTCACAAGAGGTTCCTATAACTACACCTGCCCAACGCATAATCAAACATTAAGACAAGAATCTAAACAATATCAAATACGCCGATATATTATACATTTATTTTATTACGTTTGCTGTAACTACAGTACTCCAGACCTTCCTCTCTAACAGTCCTGGTAAATGCCAGTCTTCTTTACAATCCAAGTTTCTCGGAATTCTATTCACGGAAAGGAAGGAAATCTATACAATTTCCGTAGTTTTTAGACTAGGTTATTCAAATAAAGTTGGTCTAGAACAAACACTAAGACAAAAGCATGGTAAATAAGTACAATCCTCTTAGCACCAGTAAGAAACCTAATGGCTAAAGTACAGGATCAGTTTCCAGACGACTTGACATGTCTGTACAGTTTATTTACAGAGTAAAATAATCTAGATATGGGTAATGAATTGTCAACGCCAGTTATTCTGAGATTAAGTGTGACAAATTCATCCATGGAGTTAGAGCATTACGGCATGGGTTTTTATTTTACTCATGTGGTGATATTTTAGCTACTTTTCTTGGTTCCTTTGCCATGGTCTTTGGGCACTGCATCTCACACCAACTAACTGGATTCATGGTTGCACCTAGGAATATAAATTTTATAAAGGTTATAAAAATCAAATTAAGAAATAATGGAAAATGGCTACCTATTCTATTCACGACAATTCTATTTTTAATCTTTTTTTAAAAGATTTTTTAAAATGTTAGTGATATTTGAATGCAGGAAACAGCTGTTAATCTATATCCTACTTTTATTAGAATAATGAGTTTCATCTGGTACATCAAAAGAATATATACCAAATTCATATAATAAAAGGATATAAAAAGCCTCGATAACATATATTTATATATATGATGCTTTTAAAGATTGGTAAAAAAACCTCCAAATATCATGCTTTCCTGTATTGAAATTATCCTAAAAATGGAAAATACAATTAAAAAAGGAATAAGCTCTCCTTAATGTCCTTTTCAAGTGTTGCTTTTTTCCTGTTTGTCTCACACATGGGATAATTTCAAGTGTTCTATAATGCTGTTATTCCTACCTGCTTCACTTTTAGCAAACACCACGCCCAGGTTATTGTCTGCAGTTGACAGCTGGTAGGAATGTGCATCACCAAGGGAAGTCACTTTTGCAAGGACAAGGTCACCTGGTCGGAAACATTTGTAGATTTCAACTCTGTCTTTTTCTGTGGCTCGTACATCTTCTTTTCTTATCATTCCCCTGAAGGATTCTTTGAGTGCAGTAGACTGTACACCAAGAATAGCCACCTTGCAGAACCTCGGATTTACACTTGTAACCTTTGAATTACAGCAAAAAAATGACTAAACACTATAAAATATCCACACCACCTAATAACAAATGTCAAGAGAATTTCCAAGGGTTGGGGAGGGTCTTGGAAACAAGAAGTTACATAATGTACTTCTAGGAAATATTCAAACCTCCCCCATAAAGGAAGTTTGAAAGGGTCTCAGGAAGATCCACTGTTTAGTTCTAAAAGCATTCATACCTCCCAATACAGGTAGTGTTTAAGATTTCCACTGGGCGTGGAAGATCTCCCCCCTTGGAGGGAGGGTTAAAGAGTCTGAACGGGGTAAATTGCATATAGTTCCTGAGTATTCATACTTCCGACCGAGAGATATGGGAGTTTTCATTGGGTGGGATTTGTAGTGTGAAGTGTGTGCTTCATGTTATCAGATGTGTTATTGTTTCTTCATACCTTGCATGTTACGATGGATCCTATTCCTGGAACAACATTTTCTTGTTCCTCTCTCACAACACTTATCACAGGTTTCTTCAGGGAAAGAAGTGATGTTAGTTTGATTGACATATACTTTCATTATGATGATGATGATTGATTATATATCATTTTTATCATCATGTTTTATTTTATCACCCGGGTTTATCATCATCATTAATGATCAGAAATAGTCAATACTCCATTTTACAGTTCCATTCACGAATAATAGTTCCTAGCCGAGGCTGGAGTTTCCGCGCATAGCAAAACTACAGTTTATCATGCGCGGTAATTCCAGCCTCGGCTAGGAACTATTATTTGTGGTCACTGAATGGAGCTGTAAAATGGAGTATTCATGACAGTATTTCTATTGTGGCATTTATCAAATATTAATCACAAACTCATAGCTCCTGTTTAACGAATAATTCCAAACGAGTCATTTAAGAGTCATTTAACATACTTGAGTTTCTTGTCGCACGTGTTTGATACCAGCCAAACATGAGTATACATATCCATGTCGAATATACGTGCCATTACCGGCCTGAAATTGCTCTAAACTACCTAACCTCTCTCCAGGGACTGCTATTGACACCTCACTATCTGAAGACATCTTAACATTTAAGATCCTCTTAATATTAAGGTAAGAAAATGGCCAACAAAAAATATATTCATCTTATTCCGCCATCTTGTTTTACACTGCTGCTCATCATTTTCGCTGGCTCATATTTATTCCCCTCCGTGGGCTTCCTGTGGTGTTGTTACCAAGACAACCAGCTGTTCTTTTCTTTCTTGGTTGCTTGTTTACAAGATGGCGGCGTATGTAGCTACTCATGATCGCTCTGTTTTACCCAAGAAATATGAAGATACTAAGATCTGTGTGACTCAAAGATCCACCCATGAGGATATATTAAGTAATGATTTCTGCTATCTTTCGTAAATTGTGGTTATCAAGTGATTTAGAAGTTATAAAATCACGTTAAAAGGTACGTTTTAATTTGACTTTTTATCTATGTTTATAGATGTTGGGAACAGTGTTTATCATAGGATCCGCAGTGAACATGAAGAAGAACRACAGAAGGCTATCCAAGAAGTTGAAGAAAGAATACGAAGTCAACTCACACAGGAAAAAGAAAAAGTGCTAAAAGAATCAAAGGAACGAGCAGAAGAGGAGCTTGAAAAGGCTATGCTTTCTGCAAAAAAGGCCCAAGTATGATTGTTGTTTTCTATTTCTTCACTAGCGATATAATTTATAATAATGTTTATTAGCGTGTTTTTAGACTTTTAAGTGAAGTCTTTTGCTTCACTTTTCCTTGCAGCATTGCTATTAGATGCTGTGCTTGTGGACTTCATAGATCTCCCGGGGGGGGGGGGGGGGGGGTACTACCACCCCAACTTAGGTAGGGGTGTGCCACCAGGACCTCAAAACCCTGACCCTATCCCAGACCTAAAATTTTGATTTACATACCCTACCCCAGACTAAAACTAAGAATTGTACACCCTATCCCAGACTAAAAGATGGAAAAGACGGTTTTTCAACAGATTGCAATCAATATTTACTAACTTTTTTATTGCTTTTGTGCCGGCAGAAAGTATAGCCTATTTGCCAGACAAAAAAGACCAAGTCATTAACCCTATCCCAGACAAAATGTCAAAAAACGATACTCTACCCCAGACCCAAAAGCCAAAAAACCATACCCTATAGGGCGGCACATACCTGTATTGCAAATATAGGGGAGTACCCCCACCCCCCGGGATAGATCCCCCCTGAAGGTTTGAAAAAATTGACCCCCCCTATGGGTTAATACAAAAGTATTACCTCATATATCCTTGACACTCTCAAATGTAAYGAGGAAGGTAAACAATTGGGTTGTTTTGGCCATGTAAAAAACTGGTTTTAGTAATGCAACTATCAACGTTAAGTTCAAGGGTCTGGGGGTGACCCCAGGGGAATTCGACGTTTTGAATGTGACATTTTCAAATTCCCCAAACCCCGAATAACTGATTAAAGTGAAAATTTCCACCCATAGTAAATATGTTTATGGCATTTTCTAGCTTTTTCAAGATGACAACAAATTCCTTACTGTGAAAGCATTGAATAATGTTGATTTTCTAAGGGTAGCCTGCCCCATCCTAAAGCTTAACATTGATGGTGAAGTGGTAGTGCACTATGTTCTCCTCTCTGGGGTCTCAGTAATAAATATAGGTTGTTGCATTTATATCAGTGATATGAATGTTTATCTCTGGGTTCTACAGTTTTCTTCCATCAAAAACCCATATTTGTAAGTCAGTAGTACCTTGACATCCTTTATTAAATGTTACTAACATTCACAGCCGTTCACATTGACTGATCTCATGTTGATCAGTCAGATATTGCCAGTCATCATGTCTTGCTATTGAACAGGCAATATTATTACTCCTGGGCAGAGCGGCAGTTAGAGGGCATTTGAAGGTAGAAAAATAATATTTGTTCATGTATTATTATTAAATTATCTAGGAAAAGGCTGTCAAAGCTGAATCCAAAAGAGTTGAAGCTTTGATGAAAAAGCTAGCTGTGCAGCAAGTACAACAAGAAAAAGAAGAAGGGGAAGCAAGATTACTATGGGCTCTTGAACAAGCAAGGAATAATTTTGAAGAAGAAAAAATGGAAGCCATCAAAATAGCCAAAGAGGAGGGGCGGTCCTTTGCACTTATTGAAATAAAAGAAATTCAAGCTCAAGAAGAAGATAAAAGAAAAAAGATTATAATTAATGCTGAAAAAGAGAAACAGGTAAGGCGGTGATCACTTTAGAATTTATATACATATCATCAATGCTTTTAACTAAGGAAAGATATATTTTATAGTGGGGGAGGGTGTTGGTTTGACAGCAATGTCTCATATGCAGAAATCCAATTTTAATTTGACCACTCATGACCAGCACTCAGAGACCTACGACTAACAAAACATTTGTCCAATAACTCATGTCATATTCAAATACGGTCATTTCTGGTCAAAAAGCGTGTACTATAGCCCATGGTTTTGACCCATTTTGGGTCATTTTCACACCTTTACTAAAAATATTCATAATTCACAATTATTTAAATTTGGTGATTTCTGGTCAAAAAGCGTGTACTATAGCCCATGGTTTTGACCCATTTTGGGTCATTTTCACACCTTTACCAAAAATATGCATAATTCACAAGTATTCAAATTTGACCATTCTTGACCAAAAAGCATGTAGTATAGCCTATAATTTTGACTGATTTTGGGTCATTTTCACACCTTTATCAAAAATATGCATAATTCACAAGCATTCAAGTTTGGTGATTCTGGTCAAAAAGCACGTACTATAGCCCATGGTTTTTACCCATTTTGGGTCATTTTCACACATTTACCAAAAATATGCATAATTCACGAGTATTCAAATTTGGTGATTTCTGGTCAAAAAGCCTGTACTATAGCCCATGGTTTTGACCGATTTTGGGTCATTTTCATACCTTTACCAAAAATATGCATAATTCACGAGTATTCAAATTTGGTGATTTCTGGTCAAAAAGCGTGTACTATAGCCCATGGGTTTGACCGATTTTTGGTCATTTTCACACCTTTACCAAAAATATGCAAAATTAACAAGTATTCAAATTTGATCATTCTTGACCCAAAAGAGTGTACTATAGTCCATGGTTTTGACTCTTTTTGGGTCATTTTCACACACCTTTACCAAAAATATGCATAATACTTGGGATATTCAAATACGGTCATTTCTGGTCAAAAAGCGTGTACTATAGCCCATGGTTTTGACCCTTTTTGGGTCATTTTCACACCTTTACCAAAAATATGCAAAATTAACAAGTATTCAAATTTGATCATTCTTGACCCAAAAGAGTGTACTATAGTCCATGGTTTTGACTCTTTTTGGGTCATTTTCACACCTGTACCAAAAATATGCATAATACTTGGGATATTCAAATACGGTCATTTCTGGTCAAAAAGTGTGTACTATAGCCCATGGTTTTGACCCATTTTGGGTCATTTTCACACATTTACCAAAAATATGCATAATTCACGAGTATTCAAATTTGGTGATTTCTGGTCAAAAAGCGTGTACTATAGCCCATGGGTTTGACCGATTTTGGGTCATTTTCACACCTTTACTAAAAATATGCATAATTCACAATTATTCAAATTTGACCATTCTTGACCAAAAAGCGTGTACTATAGCCCATGGTTTTGACCAATTTTGTGTCATTTTCACACCTTTACCAAAAATATGCATAATTCACAAGCATTCAAATGTGGTTATTTCTGGTCAAAAAGCGTGTACTATAGTCCATGGTTTTGGCCGATTTTGGGCCATTTTCACACGTTGATAAAAAATATGCTTTATACTTGGGATAGTCAAATTTGGTCATTCCTTGCCAAAAGTGCAACTATTGTAGATGATGTTAATTTACATCTTTTATTTAAAAAAATTTGGTTATTTCTAGGAAAAAAGATTGGTTTTTGCTGACTTTGTTTGGTTTTGCAATTTTTAGTATTGATGTTTGAATTGTTTTGTGTTGGTTAATCAAAGCACACTCTGTTTTGTTGTCTTTTTCTAGCAATCACTGAAGTCGATGAAAGAAAGGCTCAAAGTAGAAGAGAAAGAAGCAGTAGCTGAGATGGAAAGGAAATGTCAGAAGGAAAGTGAAGAAAGAGTAAATGAATTATGCATTAAACATGAAAGTGAAATAAAGGAAATGGAAAGAAAAATAGAAATGGAGAAAGAAGAGAAAAAGAAAATTATTAGTGAGATGGAAAAAATCAAGGAGTCAAAGGGGAAAATTGAGGAAAGACTAAAAATAGTTGCAGAATCATTCCAAAACTTTATAGAAACAACTAAAGGATTCGAAGGAGGCGAATCAGATTTTCTTATCCCTAATGTCTTAAGAGATGTTTTGGAAAGTTGAAAAATGAAATATTTTGTTATTATATAAGCATGCTTAAACTGTTGAATTTATAGCTTTTATGAAACAAAAACCTCCCTCTCCCTTCCCTTTCCAAGAAAGAGACACAATATAACTATAGCTATAACTAAAACGGTTTGTATTCATAGGTTTTTTGTTTTTGTTTATATCACATGTATATTATTGTTTAGTGAAACTACTGTACAATATTTTGGTAACCAATATACTCAAATAAAGATGTCAGACCTTAGTTTATTGGCTTCTTAAATTCTTTTTTCTCCATTGATTGTGAAGTTTTACTCTTTCTCTTTGTCAACTTTTGATGCTTTTATAGCAGTAGCATTTGATTTGCAAATAATTCAAGAAAGTTATTCTTGTGCAAGGTTAAAATAAAGTTGGAATAAAGGTTACCTAGTTGTTTGGTACAGCTAGAGCTTGTTTTGCAGCTTTTTTCTGTTTTAGGCTCATCTTTCCACCTCTTGGTTTTCCTTCTTCATTCTTGCCTTTCTTCTTTGGAGGTTCTTCACTTTCACTTTCTGATCCATCCTGACAAGAAAAAAGTAATTAATATCATTTATTTATCCTTTCAATTCACAAGGATAGCACTTAATAGCCAGAGGCTAACAAACCAGTGGCCCCCGTTCTGTGATTGAATTGTTGGAGTTTGGTCACTGTTTTTGGGGTGTGTTTTATGCTTGAAAGTATACTGAAATAAACAAATACCTCATCTTCTTCATCACTTGGGTCATCTCTAAGTGCTGCTTCTAAAGTTGCACCATTGATACGGAAGTCTCTTGCTGTGCTTCTCTTGAAATGTTCCATCAGGTTGATCTGAAAAACATTTTTGGATTTGTGTAATTCATAAAGGTCACGGTCCCTAGTCAAACAGGTCAAAATATTCAAAGTAGTAGAGATATAAATTATGTTTTATTGAGTAAATTCCCCTCCCCCCCCCCCCAAGCAACAGACAGGATTTGAACTCATGACCTTCTGTTTTCTAGTGAGATGCTCTAACCACTAAGCTAACTAGAAATCATGGTGAGATGGTAAATTTAGCCTGCAGTCACTAAAGATTCAAGGTTAATGGGAGCTGTCCTGTTCAAATACAGCAGTTATAGTAAATATATGAGTTGCTCTTTTACACCACCCTCCCCTACCACCTATTTTGTTAATGTCAGGGAAGGGGTAGGTTAGGTTAGAGTAAAGAAGGAAAGGAGGGAGGGGATGAGAGGACTTACCTTGGATTTCTTTGACAGCTGGATTAGAAATTTCTCATACTGTTCTATAGCATATATTAGATTGGGAATGGACTTCATCTCTTTCATCACTTTGGCCTGCAGGAACAAGCATGTAAATAAAAAATTCCTAAGTTATGAATTAATAAATAACGCAGACGTTTTATAAAGGACCTGTTCATCTTCTGAAACCAGTAAGAACTAGGAACCTTTGCATTCACAATTGTACAGGTGAGACTTACAGTAATACCATCAACAGTTCATGTGCACCCATGTGCATTTATGCCTAAGGGCTGGACTGCAGGGGAGGGGAGGGTACGTGCGCAGTTGATTTTTAAAAATTTAGTAGATATAAGCTAAAACATTAGCCAATCTCTTATGTCTAGATCAATCATTAGGGTATTATATTACGTATTTTAAGGTTGAGAAAAAATGTGTTGAGTTTGCATTGCAGTGCACTGTGGGCTGTTTAAGGGCACATAATAGATGCCATCTTGGAAATATGTACCCTAAAACAGTCCCATGATATACTGCAACGTTGACTCAACCCAGTTTTTTCCTCAATCTCAAAATGGCTAATATGATATCACATACTTTTCCTGCCATGTTTTGAGCTCTTTTCTTGTCTTTTGCCTTGCCCTTTGAAGAAGCTGCCATCTCCTGTAAAGACTGGGTCTGCACTGCTTGTATGTATGTGATCATGGCATAGACTTGTTGAGAGAGGTGGGTCCCTGTTAACTTCACCTAAAGTAAGGTAACAACAATTAGTCTAACTATTGTCCAAGAATAGTGTGGTACAGGTGTCATATTTTGTAGGCTGTTCAAAAATTACCCTTTCCCTCCATGGGAGCAAGGCACCCGTTTTTTTTGGGGGGGATGGGTGAGGCAGGCTACTTTGATAAGTCATTAATTTAAATGGTGAATGGATTTCCACATGTGATGAGTGCATGCATTGTGTGTAAACATCTCTATGACATCTGCAAGTATTTTCGTTAATGCTTTAATCAATAATTCACAGTGGTGTGTGCTGCTCATGTGCCGAGGAGGTCATGGCTTCAATTTTTGGGCCCATCATCCTGTGATTAAGGGTGCTTATGGGTTCTTTTAAGTGTTTTGCTCCAGACTTTCTATTTTTTCTCCCTCCACTAAGTTCCATATTTTGCCATGTTTAATGCTACATCCCTGAGTCAAAAGACTAAGCAATCCCTCCCTGAGTTAATACTCACTACATCCAGTCAAATTAAGTACTTGTCGTTTTAAATTCAAAACATATCATATCAATATTCCACTTTTCTCACCAGTTTTTCAAACTTGGGTGGTAGATGTCCAAGGCGTTGGTTATACAGTGCCATATACTGAGAAACAAAAGAGAATAACAACAGAGTTGATTCAGCATCATGCAGACTTGAGTTTGTCACTGAACAGTGATAATAGGTAAGATGGCAAACAGGATTGCTTATCACAAATTAATGCAAGTCAAAAATGGAATGGCCAAATACAATGCAAGTACAAACTGTCAGGGACAGTATAGATAGACGTAGACCTTTGTTATTTATTATTACTGCCTGATATTGTTCCAGTGTGTCTATGTGAGAGAGAACTACTGATGACTTACATATTTTCCACATGTTGCTAAAGTAACATACAGCTTGGTGAGCACCTAATGAACAAAAAAAAAAAAAAAAAAAAAAAAAAAAAGAATATACTTATATATATATATATGCCATTTAGGTGTGAGGTTAGGTGTGAGGAGGATAGGTACAGGTAGAGCATCAGCATTGTATGAGGTGTTTACTTCTCACACCATGTACAACCAAAATGACAATACATACCTTGACTGTACTTTCAGTGCATGGCCCTTCAGGTAGAGCTGACTGACTTAGTTCATGTAGTGCCATGACAAGGCCAGTAAGACGAACACACACAGCACTTTCAAGGGTGGTTCTTTGCGTATTATCAGGGGAGTCTGGCATCTTGGCATCTGAATATATATAAGTGAGACCTTATAAGCATACATCATTCTAGACTGTGGGAACACTGCCCATTTTCAGTCCTCTCACAGACGTTGCGTCAATGCAGAAATTATTATAATTATAGTACGCAAAATAGAACCACAAAAAAAAAAAAGGATTTTTGAAATCAACTTACTGGAAGGTGTGGACTGTGTGACAGCTAGGTCACCTCGTATTTTAGACATGGTCCAGTCTAATTCATCAAGTATCTTATCCATCTGATTCACTACAATCAGCTGTTAGCATAGAAAAACAGTATAAAAACAGACAGACCCTAGAAGTTACAGCATATCCACCACTCCTCATCCAATCAAAACGGACTCCAAGGCATGGCACAATAACCCTTACCAAAAGGTATAGGGGAAAAGTTGGGAATTTGAGTTAGGAGGTTCACTCCAGAAATGAACATCAGTCTCTTGTTCTTTAGATATGATATTTTCCACATTTTGAGAAAAAAAAAAAAAAAAAGAAAAGGAAAAAAAACTAGGCAAGAAAGTCCACAGGCACACCCAACGAACTTCTCCTAGATTGGTGCCTGATGTGCCTTCTTGCGAACAATGCTTAAACTACAAAAGGGGTTACAGCAAGGGTGTACTGTGAAGAGTTGATGATCCCTTCATTAAAACTTTGCTCCTTAGCCCCTTTTGCAAGCAGGCATACTTACAGCAATTGTAGGAGCTGCCGTTCGTGGATTAACTATTGCAAAATGAGTTCTATTTTCAACTTCAATCTCCTGCAGAAACAAAGATTTAAACATTAAAAAAATCAACATGCAGGATCTTATTAATAAGAATTTTCAGTAAAATATGTTTCAAGTAGTGATATAACTGCCACCCGGTTAGCTCAGTTGGTAAGAGCATTGGTCTGTTGTGCAGAAGGTCATAGTTCAAGCCTCGGCCGGACCAACACTCAGGGTCTTAAAATAACTGAGGAGAAGGTGCTGCCTTTGTAGTTATATCTGCAAATGGTTTAGACCTTCAAGTATTCTCGGAAAGGACTTAAAACCGTAGGCCCTGTCTGTCTTCACTATATAACCCTGTATAAGGCGGACATAAAAGATCCACTGAAGTGTTGGTGACAACCATCATCTTCAGTGCCCGTGCTAACCAGCTGCCTTATCAATTGGGCCGCAAGGCCTGTTAGGCATCAAGCCGTCCACCCAGGAGTGGTAAACACATTAGATTAGATTAGATAGATAATAATCCAGTAAATTCAGTTGGCTGTATTATTGAATTAAAGTTGAATATGGGTCCCATCCCCTATTAATGATAGAGAATCCACTCATCAGTAACCCTATGTCATTGTCAAGTATAAATCATATTAATACATACATACTTCGTCTACATCTCCTAATTGACTGTGAATATCTTGGGCCATCTCACGGATCTAAAACAATACAATAAAAAAGACCATGGTATAATGAATAGTGCATACAAAGTAGTCAATTAGGGCTTTCAAAACTGCCATAATGACATAACATACCATAGATGTTCCTGTCTTTGACTGGAAGGTCAGAGAAAACAGCAGAGTCACCAGTGCTTTAGATAATGTCATGTCATCTACAAAATATCACATTAGATCTTAAATGATGTACGATTGGCATGTTACATCATTGCAGCCATGTTCATGGTATACTCAGAACAAAACGGTTTCAACAAAACAATTAAAAATTATTAGCTTTTTTTGTTAATACCACCAAAATGGCTGCCAAATCTGTCTCTTTGATTCTCTTGGGAATGATAGCAAACCATCGGAATGCCTGTTTAGTGGTTTTTATGCCAACTTTAATGTCTTACCAACATTGTGTTCTTTGCAGATTCGTTGCACCCAGCACTGGAGATGTGCAAACTAAAAAGAAAGAACATTGCAAAAAGATATTGAGTGGTTGTTGATATTTTAAAGTAGTGATCTGATAGACATGTTGAGTTAGTAATATACCTGCTGGCTGTCTGGGTCGAGATGGTGAGTCAGTAGAGATATAACATTGATAAGTGTGTGGGTGTCCTTGACACTAATATCACTGTCTTGTGTATCAGATGAGATGATGCTGATAATGAGTTGCTGAAAGAACAATTAGAAGTTTTATTTAGTTTTTTTTTTATCGGCCATGTACACACAAGTCTATGAGTAAGGCAGCCATACCTGAAATATTTTGATAGTTGAATATATGTGTTCTTGCTCATCATCTTGATCAATCTGATCAGATCTGCTTTCCCCTGATAAATCTGCATCAGAAGAAACCAATGTGGTAATGGTATAAATAACTTTGTTATAAATCTTGCTTTCTAATTGGTTGGAATTAAGTGAGCACACAGTATCACATGTACATAATTCATTGGTATCCCAAAACCCACAGCTTGCCAACTGTGCTGTCTACAGTTAAGCACTAGTTACCTAAGTAATATATACAATATGAGTGGCTGTGTTGTATCAGATATACAACCACGATCCGAAGGCAATTGATTGTATATCTGATACAACACGGACACGAATATTGTATATTACTTATGAAACGTCTAGGTGTATACATTCATACTATAATTTTAAAGATAAAATTGAATTTGGCTAAGAAAATTGGAGTTAAAGGGTATGCTAATCAGGATGATTTTGTATCAGATATACAACCTCCTCACGGACAATGATTTCTATTACATTTTCTTCATTAATTATTTATGAGTTTTATAAGTCACAAGTAAAAGATTATACTGTTGGTACTTTACCGATAATCGCCAGGAAATGAGACAGCTTGTCCTTATAATGACAGCAAACTATGTTCACCACAATACAAAGTCCCTCCAGACATAGGCTGCTCAGTTTCTTACTCTAGAAAAAGAAATGTTAATATAAAAATATATGCTGGAGATCACAAGGAAATATTACTGACTCTGGTAGATATGGAATGCTGTACCACAGCAACCCCTCTGCATGCATGTAACCAATCTTTACATACCATACATAATCTTATATCATTAATATTATAAAAGTACAAAATTTTACCTTGTCTTTCTTCACTCTGTCATCATTGATACAGCTGTTGCCAGACACATGCTTTAAGAACACCCTGCACAAGGTAAACAGTAGCATTATACATTGAATGTGAAATTGTTTGAGAACACCTGATAGCCATGACTGTTTACCTTGCTATGGAGTGACATTGTTTATAGATATGCTCCTTGTTTCTACCTCTTGGACCACTGCAAGTACCACTCTCACTTATCTAAATAAACAAGCTTTTGAGATAAGTCTGAAGCCTAGTAAAGTTGATTCCCTCCAGCTACAAAGTAGCTTATCACCCAAGAATTCCAGGGCTAAACATAACGGCTGCTGAATATAGTCTGTCTGCTTAAGGAATATTTGGTCCAACTGATGCCACTTGGCTGGATAATATAATATTTTTTGTTATCATTATCTTTGTGTTAAATTTGTATAGCTTGACATAATTCAGCCTGTGGCTTCAATTTGTGGTTTCAAGTTTACTAAAGCATCTATGTCTGTATGCACACTGTTTGTTGGCCAGTTATTTCTTAGCACTGAAGCTGTTAGCACACACTTTACCCCATCCCCCATTAGTTCTCATTCAACCTTTTAAAAATGTATCATCTACCTAATCGCTTTTACAATTTAAATCTATGTACTAAGTATCTACCTATCTAGTCTAACTTTTACGTTATCATAGGTAGCTTGTACTTTTATGTATGTCATATTTCTCACAAATGTAAATATTTAAATATTGTGTTATATTAATAATTAGTATTGAATAAAATATTGATTGATGATTGATTGATTGATTGATTTAGATTCAAGTGTCCACAAATAGCTAGAAACATGTACTTCAGAGCTAAACAGTGGATGGTTGATTAATTCTCAATTACCTGTTTTAGTTTCTGCAGTGTGACATTCAGGACATATCTTACAAAGTCAGCAACAGATCGTAATGGCATTAGACCTTGCTGATGGCTTGGAGTCAAATCACTGGATGAACATAGAGCATGAATGGTTATTTAATATATTATCATGTTGAGAACATTCTCACACCCGTATCAACACAATGTTATATATATCCATAGTAACAAACCTGAACAATGCAGTGCACAATTGAGCCACACAACCCAAGGACAACAGACTGGTAGATGATGACTGCTGCTTACTGCCCCATGGACGACTCTTTTTACCTTTAATTGATACAAAATATCACAATAGGTGAGCTACTTGTACAACCCTCACTTATCTTTTTAGGTTATCCATGGCATGTTGATAAACAGAGCTTAAAATAACAGCTGGTCATTGGACAATGTCCACACAGAATTGGAAGGTACCAAGACAATTCTTTGCCTACCGTTCATTTTTACCAGTAGCTCTGAGCCAAAGATGAGGTATGAATGAACTAAACCTAATATGGCTGGTCATCGTGAATGGTGGCTGAGCAGCTGTTATTTTAAGCCCTTGTCAATGATTCAAAAATTTAAAATGAGCATACCTTGAACAACTGACTTTTCTTTTAGGATGTCTTCTAATTGGTGATAAACTGCAAATAGCTGTGTCACTTCCTCTATTGACTGAGTGCTGAAATGAAACAAGTTTGATTGAAGGTCAAATTAATTCTGTTCCCAGAGATTCTGTGAACTTGTAATCTTGTTTTCTCAATGTACCTGAATTCTCCTTCTGTGAATGTGAATTCTAGAAGAAGCTGAAAAGAATAAAATTCATACGAATTAAGTATATGAAAAGTCTAAGTTAAAGCACTGTTGGGCAACAAAAACACACCTCACAAACTCCCAAGACAAGATTTGCTAGGAAACTATTCTTCATTCCTACACTTGTTGTTGGTGAAAAATCTGCAGATTTATCCTGAAGATCAAGAAAAAATAATTAATAATTAATAATAATAATAATAATAATAATAAATTCGAGATATAAAAGATGAAATGAAAGTACGAGTCACATTTTCTAAGATTTGGAAATAAAATAAAAATGCAGAGATAGAAATATTTGAGTTATTTCTCTTCTCTACACAGTATGGAGTTACCAGTTCAAAATCTTCCATCTCAGACTTGATCATTCTTCTTGTAAGTGACTGTAGCAGGTCTTCTACTTCATTAAACAAGTGTTCCACATTATCTGTTAAATATGTCAAAAAATTGGAGTTTAATTTTAAGCATCAGGATCAAGCAGAAAGCTTGATGCTATCTTTACCTTGGTCATCATCTTCTTCACTTGTGTGATCACCACACCATAATGTACAATGCTGAAGGGCACTTAGTAAATGTGCCTATCAAGGATAATAATAGAATAGAATACCAGTGAGTAATGGAATGGATCACAGGGCATTATGGGCCGTCTTGGGGGCAAAACAAAACAAAGATTGGCAGATAATAATATAAAGAGTTTTGTGTGTGTTTTCCTTTCAAGGGTAAAGATGATTGATGTGACTCATTTGCCTGTAATAATGACAGGTGATATACAAAAAAATATATCATCAAGCCTAAGGGTAGCTCTATATTTGCCCCCTTTACGCTAGTACTGTCAAAGTAGTATTATGCATTATGGTATTGTTTCTGTAATTAACTGTTACTTTTAATGAAGAAAATGAAGTCTTGCTGCCAGAGTAGAATGTTGGATACATAATGTTCTTACCAAAGGCTCTGCTAAGAAGACTTGTTCACCAGAGGCTGACAGGCAGGGATCAAGCTTGATGGGAGGAGTCACGTCATCTTCTGTCTCATAGTACTTTTGGAACTACCAAAGTATACATGGTGTGCATTTTAATATTGAGATTATGGATGGATAGATGGATGGATGGATGGATG